ATAGCTCAGTGCAGTTTCAAACTCCTGAACTCAAGCAATCCTCCTGCCTCTGCCTCCCAAGTAGCTAGGACTACAGGCCTGGCTTATTTTTTATTTTGTAGAGACAGGGTCTCACCATGTCACTCAAGCTGATCTCAAACACCTGGCCTCAAGCAATCCTGCCTTGGCCTCCCAAATTTCCGGGATAACAGGAGTGAGCCACCATGGCAGCCTGGGAGTTTCTTCGCCCTTTATTTTATTTTATTTATTTATTTATTTTATTTATTTTTTTTGAGACTGAGTTTCGCTCTTGTTACCCAGGCTGGAGTGCAATGGCGCGATCTCGGCTCACTGCAACCTCCGCCTCCTGGGCTCAGGCAATTCTCCTGCCTCAGCCTCCTGAGTAGCTGGCATTACAGGCATGTGCCACCACACCCGACTAATTTTTGTATTTTTAGTAGAGACAGGGTTTCACCATGTTGGCCAGGCTGGTCTTGAACTCCTTACCTGGTGATCCACCCACCTCGTCTCCCAAAGTGCTGGGATTACAGATGTCAGTCACCAAGCCCAGCCAGAAATGCTATTAATTTTATACAGTGATTTTTGTATCCAGAAACTTTGCGCCCAGCCCTTCTTTGCCCTTTCTAGGCACACCACTCTCCCAGCAACTCCACCTGTTCACCTCTTCTGGACTCACCAATCCAGAATCTCTTTGAATTCTGTCCTTTTAGCCTTTTACGGAGGGCTCTTACATAGCCATGATTAATTAAATCATTGGCCATTAGTGACTGAGTCAATCTCCAGCCTCTGTCCCCTCCCTGGAAGTCAGCTATATGGGGTGCTGAAAGTGCTAGCCTTTTAGTCACAGGGTTGGTTCCCCTGGCAACCAGCTCCCCATTTGTTGATTTCTGAAAGTCACCGAATTAACATAAATTCAGATGTGTTTAAAAGGGGATTTTGCTGGGCGCAGCAGCTCACACCTGTAATCCCAGCACTTTGAGAGGCTGAGGCAGGTGGATCACCTGAGATCAGGAGTTCGACACCAGCCTGGCCAACATGGTGAAACCCCATTTCTACTAAAAATACAAAAAATTAGCCGGGTGTGGTGGTGGGCGCCTGTAATCCCAGCTACTTGGGAGGCTGAAGCAGGAGAATCACTTGAACCCAGGAGGCAGAGGTTGCAATGAGCCAAGATCCCGCCATTGCACTCCAGCCTGGACAACAAGAGTGAATGAAACTCCATCTCAAAAAATTTAATCGGGGGGGGGTGCTTTTTATGAATGAAAACAAAAGAGGCTTCTTTCACCTTTCTAGCTCTTACCACAGGAAATTACAGGGTTTATGAGCTGCGTGTCAGGAACTAGGGAAGACCAAATGTATATTGCTTATTATAAATCACAGTCTCATAGTAGTGGTTTCTTGTTCTAGGCTTTTGCCGGAACAAGTTCCCTGAGAACTTAGAAAAAGAGGCCAAGAAATCAAACAGAGTCAACAGGCTCACAGGCTAAAAAGTCAAGCAGAGCACAGATTATGGTCTCCAAATACAATTTTTTACTAAATAATACCATGGTTCCTTGGAGAAGTACATTGTAGGTCTGAGACAGGAAATGTCTGTCCTATTCTCACATTGATACACAATGTGTACAGATGACAAATATGCACATATAACAATGCTCAGTGTCATTAGTCAATTTGGGAAAGCATATAAAAATCATTGACTTTGGCCAGGCGCAGTGGCTCACGCC